TTCTTTTATAGTCTATTCATGTTTATATACTGTTTGAAAATGCAAACTCGTCTTTCTTTCTTTCTTGTCTGATGATGTATAGACGAACTATTTGCATTCTGACGGGATGAATATAAACATCTCATCAATGTTAGTTGAGTGTGTATACACAACTGACCTTCGTCCATCATCATCATGAGTAGCAGCAGCACCACGGTGGTAGTGAATGTGAATAGAAAAATGATTGTGTTCGCCATTACTGAGAGTGATTTGTATCCATTCTTTTCTTCTCTCTATGGTACACCACCCGCAGAATGACGAGTTTAATTGTACAAGGAAAAGAGATGCGTGAGGCATGCAGCATATCCGGTATTCGCTTAAAAACACATCTTCGACATTATTGTGAATGACCGACAGTTCTTCGAACAGAAATTTTCTTAACTATTCCTTCATTGTTCTAGATCACGACGTTGAATGATGACAATTGTTAACATAGTCAACTGAGTCGTCACATACCAGAACAAAATGAACGACAAGGATCCATTTCAACATCCGTTAGTTTCATTCAAATCGAATAAGTATGTATTCAATTGATTGATTATTGAGAATGTTACTAATACTTTCTAATTTGAATTTTCTTTCAAAATTTTTTTGCATGCATGCTATACAAGTCCTTCAATTGTATATAAGAGAAGACCGTAACTACGATTGTATATACACCGTTGTAAAGAGAGAGAAAAAGAAATGACATTGACACCAACCTCATAGCGTGTAATGAAAACAAATGAATATTGCATAAAGAAATAGATTGAAATCGTTCATTTGCCTAGTTTTTTTCTTCTTCTCCTTCTCATGAATATCATAACGGGTGAAAAAAAAAGTTCATTTCATTTCTCAATCATATTGCAAGAATCGTATCTATAATCTACAATATTAACGGTAAGCTCATGTGAAATCGAATCCAAGTTGGATTGAAAATCGAAATAGATTAGTTTGTAATAGCCAAAACGTTATATAAGATGAAAACATCGGTCGGAACTTTTCTTTCTTTGAATACAGTCGTCATTTTTTTGTCTTGATCAATGAAGATGAGTTCGAAATCGAAGAGAAAGTTCTTGTTATGCTATCCTTCTTGACGAAGTTCACAAAGATTCGATCAGATATACATTTCGATTTCGATGTCTTGATTGAATCAGATGAATACACGGCCTTTCAAGCTTATACAATACTAAATATGAATGAGACGAAATAGATCTCTATCGTTCGTTTCTTCAATTATTCTACCTTTTCTCGCTGTGTTTCGTTACATTTCGAAAGTTGTCGATATGCATGAAGTCAACTTCTGATATGTATGGATGTATTTTCTCTGTTCTCCGATGTAGTAAGTAAACAAATTTTTTCTCGAAGAATGTCAACTGCATACGAAACGAACATGATTAGAAGAAAATCTTTTGTTCTCGCTCGATCAGTACATTCATCGACATCTGTAGAAGCCGTCGACAGATGATTTTCATTCAAATCACTTCGCTAAGCTTTCTTCGAGATTCGTTTGTTTTGTATGACAGACAAATAAACTATCAGTAAAGGATTACAATTTCCACTAATCAATGTAAACGTCTGTTGACCTTCCTTTCAATTGAGATATCGTTCCGATAAAGTAAACCTTTGATTCGATTTGCTATCGCGATGACTTTTGTAGATATCTTTCTAAAATAAACTGAGAGGTATTTTCTAGCGAAATTCCACCTTGAAGAGAAGTACATGACAAAGGTACGCCTTGAATCGAACACGTTTACGTCCGAATCTGTCCATATATTTATCAGTTATTTGATCTTTTTCAGTAATTAAAACAAATAGAAAAAAATGATTTTCTTAGTATAATTATCAATATGTTCGAAATTGGTTCGGTTCGATAACAAGATAGTTAACCTTGAGAACTAACGAGTATTTCATATTTCTTTTTGACTCAAACGAAAATATTAATTAACAAGTCAGTAGAACAATCAAAATATATTTCCGAAAACTTCTGATGTTTTCCATGTCGCTTCATTTCATATTTGCTAAACATTTTCACAACTTGCCTCTTTCTCTCTTGTCGAAGGACAGAATCTTCAAGGCCTTTGCGATGATATATGATAATCTCGAATTCATCGAAAGTACCCTCATCGATTTTTTCTTAAAACTTTTCGTTCTCAATCGATATCGTCATCTGTCATTGTCGTTCACGTAATGCGTCTTTGCGTTTTCTTCACCTGAGCAAGCTTTTTTTTTGCAACACAAAGGTCATTACCCTATTATCCATCGACATATGACTTGTCGATGATCGAGCGCGAAAAAAACAGTCGTCTGCAATTTGAATCATATCTGCGCATCATCTCACCTCTTTTGCTCTTACGCTTACCTCATTAACACGTACTCAGTCTGACATGTACGCTCATGAAAAAATCGATCCTAATCAATACTTTTTTTAGTTCGAAACGTTGTGTAGTAGACGATCGAATATGCGGCAATTAACTTATTTCGCTTAAGCATGTCAGGGATCGGATTGTTTACATAAATTGCTTTTCTTTTAGACATACACAAGAATTTGGAAATAAAAAACGACAAGAATTTTGGAATGGAACATTAGTTGACGATTACAACTTTCTCATGTCGGAAGAATTGATCTGTAATTGTAAAGTAAGCATTTGCCGTTTGAATCGTACTTTTGAAATACTCGAATGTGTTTTTAGGGTTCTCTAACGGAACCATTTACTTCATTAAATGATCTTTCCGTTCATCATGTGTCTTATAATGAGTTTGAAAAACAATATACCGAACTGTTTCATTGGTGTGAAAAGATCTTCGAGACAATAACGACGGTTTCATCAAACGCGTTAGTACGTTACCTTCGACAGGTATATGAAAATATTTGGTAAATGACTTTTTTTCTCTCAATGTTCGTCTCGTTTGTAGAAATATTATGAAGAATTGTATGAACAAGGTTTAATGCGTTTACGTGTCTTTGATCAGTATGCTGATAAACTAACGGAACGTTTTCCCGACTTAAAATTAAATATTAATGATAAAATGATCCGTATAAATCGTCAATGGAATTCTCTTGAATCCCGTTTTCTCGATTATCTTGATGAAGATTTCGATCGCATACTTCAAGGTGATTAATCTTTGTCGAGAGCAAAGAAGAAAAAGATTATTATCTTTTATTCTCTAGATTTACATAGTGAATTACTGTTATTTGAGGAATGGCTTAATGAAACTGAAGAACAATTATCAACTTTTACATCGATACGCAGCGATGACCTTTCATTAGAAGATTTTCAGTATAAACTTCATCAACATACGGTAAGATTTGCTTTCGTAATAGGTCAATGGTTTAACAACAAATAATTGATTTGTCTTTGTCTTTGTCTTTCTAGAAATTACAAGATGAGATCAAATCGCGCAATAGTCGCGTATCATCGATCATCGAGATCTGTGAACGTTTGAGACACGATTACAATGAACAAATCGATCTCGTTCCGTTCGATTTTGCCAGCGATCTGGAAAATCGCTGGCATCAAACATGGATCAATTCAGTGGAAATTCAATGTAAACTCGAAGAGAAACTCAAAATTCTTCGGGTAAGTAGTTTTCAAATAAATCCATTCGAACGACTTGCATACAGTATGTTTTATTCTAATATGTATGTACTTTACCTTCGAAAAATGTAAATATCTTCCATTGATTAGAGATCGAGATTTGTGCTAAAGCAAATACATCAGCCACAAAAATGTATAGACATTCGTGCCAGTTACACGTATTCTACATATTCTCGAAGTGTTATGTATGCGGTATGTCATCATAGCTGAAATGTCATGCACGTCTGCTAACGTATAGTTCATAAGTGACCCAATACGATCATCGAGTCTTCTAATGGCATTATCTTTTCTCTTCAGCTTGTTCTCTATTAATTACCGTGCTATAGATGTTCTTATAAGGCAAACTTAAGATTATTTGAAGAGTGACCCATATGGAGAAATGTATGTCTGTGCGTGTAGATGTTTAATTTTCTTTTTTCTATTCATTTGACAAGGTACAGTTCAGATGCGTATTGTCGTACTTGAAGAGCTAAGAGAGTAAACGTAAGCGTACATTTTCCCTTCTCGCTTTATTTCTCTCTTCCTGGCTCGATCTGCCTTTCTTTTTTTTGTGCTTTGATTCATTGTCTAACATTTTCGACCGATGGTTGATCGAGCAGGGAAAAAAACGAGGAAGAGAACAAGACATACACATACGCAAAAAGCATTTTACAATTCCAAATGATTGACGATTTTTTTATTTTAAACAATGCTATGCTTGTCGCAATTTCTACTAGTTGAACGTAAGTTTCTATTTGTCATTGCTCTATCTATCGTTTACTAATAAGCAACATGAGGTGAACTACTAGTTGGAGTATATATATATTTATATGAGTGAAATTAAACACACATTTGAATGTGTGTGCATATGGTGACATACTTCGAATAGACTGAAAGAGAAGGAGAAAGAGGCCGACGACAAACTTGTCCCTATGTGTATAAATTATTGATTATTGCTATACAACACGACAAAGTAAAAATGACTAATCAGAGATGATAAAACTTGTATGTCTTATGTTTAGTTGAAAATGACTCAGATGTGTCTGTCAAACTTTTCCCTGCGCTTTTTCTTCTCTTCTCCTTCTTTGTTTGTTTGAGAAACCGATCTGTTGCCCGTCGGTAATGATTGACCGATTTACCGATTGAAAGAAAAAGTAAATGCGTTCATCTGACATCCATCCATACGTGTGTGTCAGCTTGTTATTTGTCTTTTAACATATGCTAGCCATCAGTTCGTTTATAGTTGACATAAACTGTCAAAGATACGATGTCCGCTTTCAGCAGGTAAAATTATGTTTATTTCTCGATACCCTTCGGCGTCATTTTTCTCGATCGGAATTATTCTTTCAGTTTACTAAGATAAACAGAGCAAAGATAATGTGCTCGGACATCAGTATACAATCAGTCATCTGGCCTTCTCAATTTTCTTTCTCGAATGTATATATGTATGTGTGTGTGTTGATCCCTTTATACGTGTGTCATCATCGCAAGACATCGTTCTTTTTTTTTAATCTTCTGCGAACTAAGATGTGTTTGTATATAAGTAAGAGTCTGTCGTCTATCGAGGAATAACAAAAGAATTGGTGTGGTGAAAAGAAGAAAATTGAAGTCGCGTCAAAGCTGCAATACAGATAGAGACAGGAACTAGATACATAGAGAGAAGCAGAGTTAAATACATAGACGGATAGAGCGCAAGAGAGAACGCAGGAGGAGAAGAAGAAGAAGAAGAAAAGAAGAAGGCGAAAAGTAATTTAAATCATTCTCTTCTTTTGTACTGTACTAAATAGAGCGCCACGGTCACTGACAATGATTTATATGAACTAGTGGAATATGAATAGATAGACTTGTCGAATAAATCGACAGTTAGACAAGACGTATTAGTCATTTTGTCCATGAATCTTATTCTATTCAAGTATGTTCTCTCGTAATAGCGTAATTTATGATATATAGACTTCTTCTTTTTCTCTCTCTCTCTATTTCTTCTTTCCAATTTGCACATTACAATCCTGTACTCTTTATTTCCCTGATTGATGAGTACAACATCATAGTGTTAGTCAACGGATTTGCACTTGGATGCTATAGCCCGTAGTTGAACAAAAGAACAGTTCATTGAACGAGTGAGTGTTGATAACGCTAGAAGTGCTATACGAAGGCTGATACATTCATGTCAAACGGACAGGAAACAAGCAATGGAAATAAAGACATCCATTACATCATCATCATCACCACCACCACTACTAACTCATCTCATAATCTCGAATTTCTCCAGTTTTTCTTCCTCTTTCCATGTTAATTGAACGTTCGATGTCCCCAGAGAGAGATAGTCGGTAGTTGCAAGAACATCAGTAGGATATATTAATATGCAGGTAAAAAAACGCTGGTGACCTCGAGTCAGGCAATCGTTGATTTTCTTCGGAAATTGAATACCGATTATCTTGAAGATCAAAGGAAGGTAGGAGAAGAAAAAGGAAAAAGATGATGAAGATGATGATTCAGGTTGACTGATTAAATGCATTCATTTGACTTCACTTTTTTCTCTTTTCATTCCAGAGTCCAACACCATTTGTTCTATCTGACGAAAAAGACGTAGCCGACGACGAAGAGGACGATATTATCCCGTTTGAATCAAGTGAATACGAGAAAATTCCTCTCACCGGATCAAACACCAGTCTCGATAGTTTATATTACTCGAAATCGAATTCCAAACGTTGTCAGTCACCCTTAATTCTTTCTTCGAATAGCAATCTTCAATCAAACTCGATTTATATGAATAAAGACATGGCAAGATCAAAACGGCAAATGTCATTAAATTTTCTCCCAATAAATTCTCCATCGACATTTTATTATTCATTAACCAATATAAATGATCTTGATGATCAAATAAACACAAATAAAAAACAAAAACGAACATTTTCTAAATTAGATGTCGGATATGAAAGCGAAGATGAAACTAATCAGTCGAACGAAAGTCTTCAACCGATATTTCAAATCAAAACAAGTCAAAGTGATTATTACATTGGACAAAATTTCACAAATCACAACAAAACAAGTTTTACTTCCCTAACACATTCATTACCAGTCCTTGAACACAATCATCATTTGCCTAATTGGTGGCGACATTCAATTACATCAGCATACGATACGTGTTCCAACCCAGATATTGACATAAGTATTGAAGAAGCGAAAAAAGCTCAAGTCAAACCATCCTTACTCATGTACAGTAAAAAGTATACAGATTCGAAACCATCTCCGTCGCAGTTATCACCATTGCAAAGTAAATTACCATCGAATCCAGCATCGAATTCTTATGATGCTAGTGCAGAATACACGGACCCTGAACAGTCAGAGAACGATGTGGATATCCTATCTTCTGATTTTAATTCGAATTCACCAGTTCATCGTTATCATAATTCTGAACCACAGTATTATAATCGATATAAGAAAACAACTACTACGACCACTACCACTACCACCACAGGATATTCGTCGGATGTCGAATTAGAAACAACGACAACGCCATCGGAAACGGAAGATCAACAACAAACACCAAATTTAGGTGAGGATTGTAAATGTTAATGATTATTATGTCTCGCAATAGGTTCAATTCAATTATATATTGACTTTTGTGAAACAATAAAACTGAGTCGAAAAAAATCCGAGAGAGTTACAATATTGGTGATTACGTCATTGATTCGTTCTTCTTTTCTTTTTCAATAGGTGAAGTATCTCAAATGATGAAGGTTGATTTGATCAATTTACCAATGTCGTCGACGTCAGACGGTAGGAACTTCTTTCTTCAAACGACAAAATCTCATTGAGAGTCATTTCTCTAGTATTCGATTCATTGAACACAATTATCATGGGAGAGAAGGTCGATGGTTCTGAACCATGTTGGGATGGATATCAGGTAGATCAATCATATTGCGAAAATATTCTCTATCCATTCGTTTCTCGATCAGAATCCCTTGTTTTATCAACTGAACTCCTATGACATTGATTCCATGGAAACAACATTGAAATGGGAAGATCAGTTTTTAGAAATGGATGTACCCAATGATTCGTCATCGGATAATGAAAACTATTTCGACGACAATTTCAATCGTTCACTTAAGGTAAATATCTTTTCTCCTTCGCTCCGAAGCCAATGAACAGCTAGAAAGTGACTACGTAAGTTTAGAAAAGTTTCACTCCCTTCTTCATTCTCAAGTGATTTTTATGTGATAGATAAATAAACACATCGATTGTAAAAATGATATCATTAGATTGAAAAGGATTTATCACTGTTGCACTCTCGAAGTGTTTATAATAACAATTGCCGAGTAATAATGAATAGATAAACAAATCGATGATCGATTTTTGTTTTGACTACTGTAAAGCCACCGGCAGCAAATCTTTCCTTTCTCAACATGAAATCATATCCACAAAAAGAAAAAGAAAACGATCTTTTGACTACCAGCAGATTTTGTCACCGAAAGGCGAATTTTCGACATCCGAACGCATCATTAAAACATCCCAGTCATAAGTCCTTCACACAACAGCTTGTAGTGGTTTGCTTTTATAAACCTTTCGATTGCTTTTCAATATAATTCATTGTATATCGCTAGCAAAACAAGGTCGATCCTCTTGACGATAGCGCTTTTCAGGGTTGATACTTTATTACACATAAAAAGCTTATTGATTCATTTGACTTTTTCGAGAGAAAGTTCTTCTTTGAAATTAAAAACGAAACTGAGTAAAGAAGCAACAAAACACACGCCACGACATCACTTACCAAGACGATAAAAAACACTTGAAAGATCAATCAGAAGAGACAAATGACTTCTTAAAAGATATTTCTACTTAGTGGAGAGATCACGCATCCATCTCCAAATGGACATTGAGAGGATTAGTGAAATTTTCGCTGTTGTTTTTGTTTTTTTTTCATCAAAGGAAATGACAATAAGATGCCGCTTGCTTCTCTTTACTCCTCCCGATGACAAGTGGTAATGAAACGTAAAATTACTTTTTCTTCTGATATCATTTCAAGGACATAAATATGTCCATACATATATATCCAACTCATTCATATCCATATCGCTTTATTTTCATTGTAGAATGACTGAGCATTGCTAAAGGTCAAACGTTCACTTTCGCCTTTATTTTCTTTCTTACTCATCATTTGTATCTCATCCAACAGTTCGATACATTATTCATTTCAGATAGATAGAAATATACATCATAGAAAAGAGATTAGTCATTTACCGCATTCGAACAGAATAGAATAGAAAAACCGCATATGAACGTTTCCTTTTTTCTTTTTCTTCTTCTTCTCTTTCCTATTCTTCTTCCTGCTTCTTTTTTTTCACACGCATATATATGTAAAAAAATTTCAGTACTTGCTCGTGCCGCTAACGTCAACAGAAATTATAGATAGAGCGTGGGGAGAATAGAAAAGCAAAAAAAAGAAACGGGAGATGCCCTTTTCTTCTTTTTTTCGTCGTAGTTTTTTCTCTCTTTCTTCTACCTTTTTTTCCTCGACGTCTTATGCGACTCTCTTAGCTTAGTTGTCTTTCCAATGAGTGCTGATGTGGTTTGTTAACATTGATCATTGGACTATCAAACTTGCCTATCTAGTTTTACAAAAACTAACAGAAGATACGACGGAACAATCTTATCAGGTAGATATCTAAGGTTAGAAAGGTGAGAAACGCTCAATTAGATGTATCATCCATTCTACGCTTCGTTGGATGCACATTATTTAAACTTATACCGTTTTTTCTCTTTTCTTGATCGATTGGTTTCAAGTGAAGAAAAGCGTTGCGTTGTTTTTTCAACGAAGGCGTCCAAAGTGTAAATGTTAATTGACGATTTACGTTTCGTATTCTCGAGGATTTTGTTTTTCATTGACTCATACATGAATAATTGTTTCGAGTGTGTCTTTTCTCCTTACATACGCTCAAAAGTACTTCGTTGTTTTTCTTTTTGACTTGATCCCTTCATATTTGTATGACAATGGCTAATTAGAATAATGTACACTCGTATCGTTCACGCCCTCCGAGAGATGAATCTGTACACATATACATACGCATATCTGTCGATGACACAATCATTGCCAATGATCTCTCTTTAGAATATCCATGGCTCATCATCATCATTGACAGGTGGCTTAGCTGGAAATAAAGAATTATTAGATTCTGACTCTGACTTAGACGATTTCAACTACGTGTTAAATGAAACAGAACGACAGTTATTTAAAGCACGACAAAGTTTAGAGAAGAAAAAACGTCAACAACAATTTACATTAAACGATCGCAATCTACGAAAATATGTATGTAATGTTTGATCAATTTTGCTTATTTCTATTTTAATGTTCGTGTGTTTTTCTTCTTCTTTCGTTCGATTAATATAGGATGAAGTCTTGCGAACGTGTGAAACCAATATTCAATGCTTACAACAAATTTTAAAGAATCTTCATCGATCAAAGAATTCACGTCTCAACAGCACAAAAGCGATTGAACAATTACAAAGTAAGTAAAGTAGACAATTGAACATAAATAATAGAGGAGTTCCACATTGAAAATTGTCCTAAATGTCTACACTCGATCTATTTCACTTTCCCACACGTATATCAAACATAAATTACAGGCTCTGGCCCATTATCGTTAGATAGACGTCACCTATTCTCTCCTTTTATGCGTATATTAACCAATATATGTATATATCCACGCGTGTGTTTATTTAACGTCTCCTTCTCGTTCATTGTTTCTCAATTTCTTTTCTTTATTGTTCTTTTATAATGACTACTAGTGCAATTACGATCACCAGCAGCTCCTATTACACACAGACAATATTCAAGTCTGCCTCCACTTGACAGTAGACAACTAAGGAGAAAGTAGAACGATAATTGTTCATTTCGATCATTGAAAATTAAGAATATGTATGTGCTTGACGACAATAGAGTGCCTTTCTCTATATAAACAGCACGCACATCGCATATTTTTCATTTCTTCACCGAGCCTCTAGTTATAAATTCAATACGCTGCTAGTATCATTATCAATTACCTTGGAACGACAAATATTTGTTTATTACTCCGACATGATGGTAATTGTTCAAGATTTCGAGATTTTGACGATGATGCTTATTTTTTCCAATCGAGTCGGACATGGCAGAGCGTCTTGCTTTCGTATGAATGCATACAGACGATCGCGATCTTGTTTGTTTCTTTCGTTCTTACTGCACGCTTTTCTCTTCTCTTCTCCCTTTTTTTTTGTATCGTTCGTTCGATGTAGTAGTAAGTATTGTGTCCTTCGATAAAAGAAAAGAGAAACAACAAAAACACGACCACATCCTTATTGCTTCTAACAGAGTAAGACAGAAAAGAGAGAGAAGATAGAGCGAGGAAAAAGGCATTTTTCTCATTCATACTCGTACTTTGCCTGCGCACGTTCTAGACCGTCAGATTCGACTCTCCATCTCGACAACACTCGTGTAAGTCTCTGATTAGATTACATCACGGAAGAATGAGAAGATCCATTCATTGTTATACTGAAGGAAAATATTCTAAATGTTAAGCCGATTTAATTGCTGATCTTGAGAAATACATTCATTCTTAATTCTTGATTGAGTATCTATGCAGGTAACACTTCGCTCTTTCGTTCGTTCGTTATCTTTCTTCGTCAGCTATTTGGATTAATCCTTGCCTTGTTTATATTCAATGAATGTATGTTTCGAAATCTCATGTTACACCCGCGAGAAGTTACCTGTTATGTATCTCGATCTGCTGTATAGATTGATCTTTCACTGTTTGGGTTCATCGATATATACATATTAGATAAATGATTATCAGATAGAGTCATCTTTTAGTTTATATGGACGTTTTGTAACCAAAATAGTAAGCATATTTGATAGGATATGAGTACCAGATGCGTGTGTTATATCTCCTATTGTGTTTTCTAACCTTTCACTATTAATCTTCTTTTGCAGCATATCTCTCTGGTTGGCATGACATGCGACAACAAGTTAATGATGATCGAATACAAGCTCGTCAATTGCTCTACGTATCGCAAGAGATTATCAAATTGAAATTACGCTTAGACGAAGAGTTAGCTCGTATCGATTCTTCACATAATCAATCTCATCCCTGGTTGAATGAGGGCTCCTTAACTGAAATTATGAGACGAATTAATTACGAACTTGAATCGGAAAAAGAATCTCGACAAGTAAGAAAACCTTTCTCATTTCATTTTACATTCACTTCATACTTGCTTTTTCCTGTCAGAAAATATCTTCTTATCGTTCTGATATCCTCCTTGCCGAAGAACATCTTAACGAATATCGAATGGCACATTTCGACAGTCCATCCTCATCGAATATTGATGAACATTTACATAGTTGTCGTCTGGCACTTAACCAACTGACCGATAAGTATGTTTTCATTGAACATGTTCTCTCTAACCCCCTCCGCCCATCTTTCTTTCTCTTCTATTCAATTCAGAATGGACACGTATCAAAGTCAATTACGTACATTATCAAAAATGATCGACAATCTCATTCCTATTGAAACACAAATCGAACAGAAATTAACGTCATGCGAATACAATAACAATTATCAGGTAATTCGAAAAGAATTGCGCTTCAATCCACGTGTCTACTCATTGTTCCCATGTCTAATAGATGAATTTGCAAGACATCCAAAGATTAATTGAGAAATACGAACAATCCGTAAATCATTTAAATTATTCAAGAACTCAGTACACATCAAATTTGCATTTGAAAATCCAGAATCACTGTGAATCGAAGTTAGACTTATACAAGAAGATGCTAAGTGAATTCGTTCGTAAAAGTCAATCGAAACATGTGTCGTTTGATGGATCAATTAATCTAAATAATAACAATTCATCTATATTTCATACATCATCTTCCTCGTCGTCAGCAACTCCTTTGCAATACTCTTCCCAACAGAGTTACAATCAGAATAGCCGACAGAAAAAATACCGGCGTACAACTGATAGTCGAACGACATTAAACGATTCGAATCGTAGGTTACAAATCGATTTTGATGCTTGTAATTAATTTGTTTTTCACCTTGAAGAAAATTTCGGTAACGAAACGGCGAATAAACAAAGTTCGACAACTTCTTATATATCCGATGATTGCAAAGTTTTATACATTGAAACAGTTGTTGAAGTAACCAAACCTGTCTTCTACGAACGTACAAACGAAACAACAACAACAACAACAAATACCGAGTACCATCATCAAATTCCTCAATCCACTATAGATACTCACCAATCAACAAATCATTACTATAAACTACACGAATCATCCGACGACGAATCAGCTAAACCGGTGAACGTGCATAAAACATCAACAAATACAACTGATCGCCGACGGAATAAATTTCAACAAGTTGATAGCGGAATTGAGTATGATCGAACATCTCTTCCACCATCTTCTTCATCATCAACAATCTACACACATCAGACTGTTAATGATAATTCCAAACTTTTATTTCCACCTGTTTCGACTACTTCGATTCTTGATGACACATCTCAGTCCACACTTCTTCATCGTTTACAATCAACAAAACCGACATTGATGGAAGATAAATCAGCAAAAACTGTTACTTCAAGTCCAACAAGAAGTTCCGTTTGGAATCGTTTGAAACAAACATGGCTCCGTTCGCTTTTGCTTGGTCTTTTAATCCTATTTATTTTATTTTTTGTCTATTTCAATCGACTTGACACATGTTCCAAGTCGACTCTCGTTCGAACAGTTTTCCACAAAATTATTTGTATTGAAAATGAAGGTATACCCACAATTTGATGAAGATGTCATATGTTTTCTCTTTTGTATGATACACATTTTATTCTTTTTCTCTTTTCCAACTTGTGCTTGTTAGTATGTGTGTCATCTTTTGTACAGAACATGTGTGTGCGTGTGTTTATATGTGTATTTGGTACGCAAGAGGAAGAGACTTTCCTATTTCTGTTTTCTTCTTTTTCGCATTTTGGTTTGATTGTTGTTGGTTTTCTTTTCCGAAGCATATATATATATATGAACAATGATGTCGAGAGATTTATGATGTCGAACTGGTCAATTACTCTTTCGCAAGTGATTTTCATGAATAATAGATCGAATACGCATTAGAATGATTGATATACCTCAAGAGAGCAAGTATGTTGTTTTGTTGCAAAGGACGGAAAATTATTCGAGCGTAAATATCTTTTTTGATAAAGTTATTATTGAGAAAAAGCTCGCCTAATGAAAGGATACTGAAGCGAACAACAAATTAGACATTCGAACGGTAATGTATGACGAAAAATGTGATATTCATCAATCAATTTCACTTGCCTTTTTTCCGGTTCCGTTTTTTTCTCATCATATCGATTGCTTCATGATTATCTCGTATTTTTGACAGTTTATCGGTTTTTTTTTCGTCCGATTTAATCATTGATGAGGTCACAATTATAATTTAATTTGTTGTCACTGTCCAAGGTGAATGTGAGGAAAAGTGCTCGTACTTCTTGATAGACTTAATTATCTCTTGACAACTTATAGATCAAGTTAACGTAAATGTCATGTTTATTTTATCTTGACATACACTACCCACATAATCAGACAGAAAAATCTGATCGTCTTACGTCCTTCTCATCTGTTTTTTTTTCAAAGATACGAGATGATTTGATTGATAATTTGAAGTAAAACATGTCTGTCGATGTGAAGCTGATTTGTGTGACAATTTCGAAGGAAGATCTTCAGTAGCGTTAGCAGACGGCGAACGATGTAGACTTCGACAGTGAAGTTTCATCGTGCAATGACATTGCGAATAAATTTCCAAGATGTTGAGTAAATAAATATGTTGAAAGTCACATGCTTGTGAATCATGACGAGTTTTTCGTTCTTTTGTTTCTTATCGCTTAGAAGGACAGTAAAACCAACAGAAGTAGGAAAAAGTCTTTCATTCTTCAATTCCAACATGAAATAACGTTGCGTATAGCATAAGTGAGGGAAAAAATGATTCTTCCAAGTTTACAAAAAGATCATCGATATAGAAGTCCATTTAGAAACAATGGTCTCTTCAACGAACATCCAATCGTATCATATTACCAAACCTGTTATTCTCTGGTTGGACTCCGATGCAAGTCATGCGGAGAAACATACCAAATATTTACTTGATAATAATCGAGATCTGATTGATTCTGTTCGTGTTCATGGCAATATCGGCGAATGCATTGACTTTTTCCGATCAGTTACAAATGCAAATATAGTTTTAGTCATCACAAGCTCATTTCCCTCTGATAAACTTCGCTATTTAATGAAATATGCAGAAGAGATGATTATGATCGATTCAGTGTTCGTATTTACCGATCAATTATCAGAGGAACAAACTTATTTGAATGATTGCAGCAAATTGCATGGAATATTTGTACAAATCGAACACTTTTCTTTTGCAATACGATGTCGCTTTGATTTACCTCACGTGGATTCGAAATCCAGCAATAGTATTTCCTCTATTGATGAAAGCCCGGCTGAATTGGATTCATTCAATGTATATTCGAAACTATTTTTTGACTTAATAACTCAACTTTCGTATGATGATACAGCCAGAAAGGAAGGATTTAATGCCTGTCGTAAGTTTTACACTGACGATGGAAAAAAATTGAAAGACATCAATGTGTTCGAAGAGAATTACTCACGGCACTCACCAATGTGGTGGTTCATAAAGCAATCAATACTGAATGATGTGATGAGAAATGCTCTAGTCACACAAAATTGGGATATGCTAATCCAAACGGGCATGTTCATACGTGATCTTCATCGAGAAATCAAACAAATTTACTCTACGGCAAAGCAAACGAGCAAGTTCGCGGTTTATTTTGGACAACGAATGTCTTCTAGTGATTTTGAACAATCTATGAAATCGAGAAAAGGTCATCTGCATGTTTTCCATTGTTTTCTTCTAACCTCTCTAGATCGACAAGTCGCTGTTCGTTCTCTGAAGTCTGATCATCCACATTTGAGGATCATTTTTGAAATGGAAATCGATCCGTGTCAGTCTACAATTCCCTATGCTTATTTGAATGATAGTAGTTATTATTCGGAAGGGGAAAACATCGTTGTTTTATCTTCACATTCGATATTTCAAATTAACGACATAACTTATGATAAAGATGATTTATGGAAAGTGAAATTAATCTTAACTTATCATATTAATCCACGATTAAAACCAATGACTGACTATATTAGAGACGAATGTTTACATGCAACTGGCTGGGAATCATTAGCAGCATTGCTACATAAAATGGGCAGAGCTGATAAAGCTATGGACGTTTTGAAAAAGTCAGAGGAAGTAATTGTGGAAACAAATGATAATACATCAATGAGAATGTTAGCATCAAACCAGAATAATATGGGTTTTGTCAATGATTCTATGGGAGAATATGCAACTGCTCTTGAAAATTATGAAAAAGCTCTGAAAACTCAAGAGGCATATTTACCTCCGGATCATCCATGTGTAGCCATAATCTATAACAATATTGCCATGACATATCGATCGCTAGGAGATTATCGCAATGCGCTCTTGTATTGTAACAAAGCACTAACCATTCGATCGAATTTACCGTCAACAAATCATAAAGAATTAGCTAATTCTTACAGTTCTCTTGGCATGATATACGAATCACAGGGCGATTATAGGAATGCTCTCTCATACTATGAAAAAACCTACGAAATTCAGAAATCTTCACTTCAATCCGATGATCCATCTTTCGCTTTGAGTTATAACAATTTGGGTGCGATCAACTGTTTACTTGGTGATTATTCAAAAGCATTATCATATTATGAACAAACATTACGAATTCAAGTCGCTACTCTCCTGTCAAATCATTCGTCTCTAGCCGCCACTTACAGTAGGATAGGTCACATTTATCAACTAACGGGTAAATTCACCTATTCCCTATTCTATTATGAAAAGGCTTTGAAAATTCAACAGAAAGTTCACCCAACTAATCCACTCTTAACAGCAACTATATATAATAATATAGGTTTGTTATATCGTTTAATGGAAAGATATCCGAATGCTCAATTGTATTACAGAAAAGCGTTACGAATTGAAAAAAAAATCTTTCAGTCGGATCATCCATCATTAGGAATGACGTACAACAATTTAGCTTATGTACATCAATGTATTGGTGAATATCAAACAGCAGTCGCTCTGTATGAAACAACATTAAAGATCTGGCAAACATCTTATCCTTCAGATCATCCATTACTTGCCACCATTTACAATAATTTAGGTACTATTCAAGACTCATTACGAAATCACCAGGAAGCACTTTCTCAATACCAAAAAGCATTCGAAATTCTACGCAAATCATCTGCTACGAATCCATTAAACCTTGCAGCTATTTATAATAATATGGGTGAAGTTTATCGATCTATTGGAGATTATCGCAACGCCATGTCGCATTATCGAGAGACACTGTCAATCGAAGAAAAGCATCTTTCTCCTGATCATCCGTCATTAGCCATTACTTTGAGTAATATGGCTACAGCATTGGATAAGAATAAACAAATAGATGAAGCATTGGGATATGCAGAACGAGCTTTCGATATTGTGCGCCGAGCATTTGGACCAAGCCACTCAGAAACAGCACGATACCAAAAATATTTGAATGAATTACAAAATAAACGGGTGTTCTCTGGGTGACAAAGAAACATTTTTTTTGTATCAATTTTCTTATAGCTTCAGTAAAATTTCTGGTTAATAGAAGTTAGATTCATCATCAATTGTATTTATGTACCGAAAATCACGTTCTACTTAAAGTTTATGCTGCGATATTCAACGTTACTTATTTTATTAATGTACTCAATATAATGTATGTAATTACTCAGAGTCGGAAAAGGCTTTTCATCAATTTGCTAGAATAAAAATAGAAATTAATTATTCGACTTCCCTTCCCTCTAATAATTCTCATACCGACTAGTGAACTATCTAATCAACAAGACTAATTATACTTGAAAATACAATAAATGGATATATAACTTTGGTTTTTAGCAGACCATAAATAACGTGTGTAAAGAGAAAAATGAGTTGTGAAATGGCAAAAGAAAGCATGTCTTCATATTAAAAGAATTTCGAATAGGATTAAGCATATTAAGGAAAAAACACTTTTATTCAATTTGACGACAATGCAGATGCTCAGAATAAGATCCTCAACACAGAATAAAAAGTAGCTCAGATGATTAGCAAACGAAAGAAGGCAAATACACGTTACAACAGCAGATATTGTATCTTGAAGAAGTTCTCTAAGATCACTTTCATTCCGTTGATCTTTCATACATCGATTTGAATTCCGTCCAAACAGGATCTTCTCGTTCACCTGTCAACCAACTCGATGATGATGGAAGTTGTTGTTGTTTCATTGAGAAATCGTATCCAGTACGTTTTTCGACTTCACGTAAGTTCTTATACAGATGAAAATCTGTAAACCACGCGTGAAATAAAGCTTCCTATATGAAACAAATCGATCATGTTCATCTTCAAGAAAACTTTCTTTTCAGAAAAAAAACAACACTAACCGTTGATCGTATTCGTGTCAGTGGCTGAACAACTAACAGTTTATTCGAAATTAAATCAATTGCTTCGTCAGTAACATCACGCCAACGTTGGTTAGAGTACATTAATTTCTTATTTCGCACAATTTCTTCCGCACGCGGAACATCTTTTTCGTCATATGGTAAAGTACCTGAGAGAGCTGCATAGAGAACAATACCAACACTCCACATGTCAACCAAGCGATTGTAACCTTCTTTACTTCGATAGATTTCCGGTGCACAGTAAACTTTCTATGAAAAAGAGAGACAAGAATACAGTTTCATCATTGTTCAGCAAGAAATACATACGGTTCCAACTCGTGTTTTCCGAAACGAATGTTCGCCGATGATTCTCGAATAGCCGAAATCGGCTAATTTAACCAACGGCAATTCAGTTTTGTATTTTATTGTTTGCGTTTTATTCGTAGACGATGGCGGAACGGGCTTCAGAAATGATATGAGTATGTTTTCACATTTCACGTCCAAATGTCCACAATTATTCGAATGTAAATATCGCAGTGCAATGATCACTTGATAGATCAACATTTTACACATATTCTCATCGAGCCATTTGTTTGATGATTCCATTATATATTTGCACATATCAGTTTCCATACGTTCCGTGATGATATAGACAGCGTCGCCACGTTCGAAATAAGCTTCGAGTTTGAGAATATTGACCTGAAAAGAAACATGAAGAGAAATGTTCTTTTGACTTCATAGAGAATTACGTGATTGAATTTGTAAAGATGATCGATTTCTTCGTTTGTTCGACGAATGTCTTCTTCGCTACAATTGGCTTTTTCGATACATTTTATTGCAACTTTACGATTGGTTGATTTACGAATTGCACCTACGACTCGTCCGAATTGACCTAAATTCATCGAAATAACAAGTTTTGGCATCAAACCATAGATTTCTCATACCTTCACCGATCTTTTCACCAGTAAATGTGTACAATTCATGCAAATCTTTATCTTCATTATCGGTTCCTTGTGGAGGCCGTCGATAAATACTTTGTCTTCTTTTCAAGTTTCCATTCGATTTAGAATTTGCTGTCGATGCAGTTGGCACTGGTATAGTTGCAGTCGGTGGTGCTGGTTGTGTTGTTGTAGCTAATGCTTCCCATTGATCACGAATGGATGAATAAAATTGTGCTGTTTGCATTTGTAAATCATCTGAATCACTTTTTTTACCCACACAAAGCACAAATTTTCCTTGAAAATGAATTTCAAAGACGTGATCACGATCGTCAATAAAATGTGTAAGAATTATATCATTAATTTCCGCCAATGGAATAAGTGTGTCGGTTTCCGATGCTTGTCGCGTTTGTTGTGGCTGTGGAGATGATGAATTCGATAAAGTCGTTGTCAATGTTAAACTTGTTCGTGTTAAACGAAATAAATATCGTTGGTAAATATCTCGACCACTGATGCAAGCGGGAAAGATACCTTCGTCGATAATAGTTGTTGCCATGGCTGATTGTTCCGTTTCTTTGGAAGTGTTCGAGGATGGACTGTAGATGGGAACGGTTTTTGTATCAGGAGTTAAGGTAGAATTTGCGGATGTAACTGGTGGTTGAACAAAGGGATTGACGAAAGATAAAGAAGTTGAGGGGGATTTCCGTGTTGGTGATGGCGGATCGGTGAGAACGGAACAGTCATCGAGTAAAAACGGTGCACAATCTTTATGATACGTCATTCGACACTTTCGGCAACGAAAACCTTGCCGGTAGATTCCAGTAATCAGTCGTGAACATTTCGAACAATTCGTTGGCACGTTTAGTTGACATCGATATAAAGCATGCGGATTTTGGTTAATTTCCACAGGTACGACAACTAATTCAATAAGAGAATTCTGTTCAAGGTCAGACAATTGAGCAATTGGTACCATTGTTAAATCCGACGATGGAATTCGGAAAAGATAAAGTGTGTAACGTTCGACTAATTGTAGATTCTTTGTGTTGCTCAGTATGGATCGCAGCCAATTCTCTGCGTCACGATAGATTTTTTCGATAGTACTGCACGATGTATCATTCATTGGATATTTGAATGGTTTTTGTTGAAAACCGAACTTTAACGTCACACAAATGACATCCGTACGAAGAAAATTTTCTAGTTGGGTTACAGGCTGTGGTGGTGCTGAACGCGTCGCCATGCTTGAATCCTAAACAAACCGAGTAAAGACTTCTCTGTAAATCATGTTCAACTATGACTAGTTAGGAAAAAAGAAAAACACTGCAACTTTCACGTAACTTCTAATAGTTGACATACCTTTTTAACCTGTTTTCTTTCTCTTTTTTCTCTTTTGCGCTCAGTCTTTTCCTCTTCCTCCCATTTTTTCTCAGTCTAGCATATATGTCTCATGCACATATAGATTTACATGTATTACAGGTAAACTATTCTGCAAGTCATAAATCATTGACAAATATTGTCGCACTGCAATATCACTAAGTGTACTTCACGTTGTTTTTCTTCTCAAGAAAATGAGTAGAAGAGCCTTAGGTATTTTCTTGTAGATGATAGAAACAATAGATTTCCACGCGATATCATTTTCTAATTAGTTCTATTTACACATTAACGTTTCTCAAAAGCATGATTTCTCGGATTGAATGTTTCATCGACAAGTAATTCTTTTCCATCCTGTAAATACATCATTTTTTTTTCATGATATGATAGAACAAACCAAGCAAAATCATACAATTTGACACATGTGATTTCTCACCGCGAAACGCATCTCGTGTATTCACTTCAATGGAAATCAGTCGGAAAAAAGCGTTTTATATTGAATCATCAAAAAGGTCTAAAAGATTAAAACATCAAATTCTAACAGCAGGAATGTTAATCAGGAACAAATATTAGATCACTTTCCGAAAAAGCCTCGTGACAAATAGCGAGCAGACGGTTTTGTATTCAAATCAATTTTATCGAAAAAATCATGGTAAAAGTTCAATAAAACATTTCCAAAGATACATATTTTTCTTTCTCCACCGAATTTTAATCTAGGAAAGACATCTGTTCAAAAGAGATTGATTATATTGACAATAGGATTACAGAACTTTTCCCGCTCATTGACATATTATATCACTCTCAAATATTGACACTGACTTGGATTATACAGTATGAAATGAACGCATAGGAAAGTGCGTAATCAACTAGTTTACTCGTTTTTGTTTCTATAAAGAGATACTCGATGAGGAAGACTAGGAAATCGTCGCATAGCGTTGATGACGTATTCCAGAACATGTACCACTTTGCTTTTGAGAATTTTAAGAAAAAAAAGGTTAAATGAACAATGTCCTGGCAGAACTTTAGTCTTCTTTAGACGGTATTTGAATACTAGTTCGAAAACATATATATTAAATCATAGTATTTTGTTAATGTATCAAAAAGTTCAAGATAAAAATAAAAGTTTTTGATGTAATGAAGGATTTGGGATTGTAGAGAGTACCATGTAATCTCACTGCATTTTGTTCAATTTTTTATACATTTCTTGGCAGTAGTTGGCGGCACAAGCTTCGCAACACTCTCTTTGGTGTGCCATTCCACCGGGCTTGTTACTAGGAACATTTTGTATCCCAATAATATATGGTAAAACATCAAGGTCGCGTATGGGTCTTTTCTCATAACATTTTTGCAAAATGTGAAATAGAACACATTGAGTTATATACCAAACTTCATCGTTTGTACAAGATCCAGTATAATATTCCCTATCATCTTTGCATTTAGCACAACGTTGTCCAAAGCGTTTCAGTCGAATCAGTCCAAAATGTTTCTTTTCATTGCGATAAAATCGAAATAAAATCATAGTCCATGAAGATGTCCAGTCATGACCACCTTTACACCGATAGCTGAAAAGACAAATCACAGGTATCTACATATTTGTTTTTTATTTGAAAAACTGACCGGGCTTGCATTCGATATAGAACATCAAACCAACCGTCATAATATTCATGAACAACATTAGTCAGTCGCTGCATTATCCACCGATCCCCATTAGGCAGAGGATTGTCATAGAGACTCATACCAAGAGCTGATTTGAATGCGCCAAGTGACATTTGTATCCAAGATATGAATGTATGAGCTACCTGCTTTTCTGTAATTAAACACGAAAAGAAAAAAGCTGATTTCCGACTACTTGCGACAGTCACATGTTTTCATTGCGGCTATACAGAAAAAACAGAACACTCGAGGCATATACCGTAGCCATGCGAGTATTGCAAATATATCGCCTTCTCAATCTATAATTCAAAATTTAGAGCGTTTATTTTCATTAAATAACGAAGACGACAAAAATTAGCATTTTCACCAATAAAATACCATGAATTCACATGTATTATCGCGTATCGAACAGTATTTCAAGTTACATCAGTCAAATACTTCCAATTAATTATGCGACTTTATTATAGAATTTCACGGGATCGGATAGAGGTCGCAGACAGTACGCGAAAGTTCCTGTATAGTATATGACTTGAAATTTTACAGTTTGAAATATGTTTCAATATTCCGCGAAGAACGAAGAAAGATATTGTCATTTTCGTTTACACCAGAAGAATACCATGAGACTAGATGTATCGGGTGGGACATATTAGAATCTTCAAAACCTTTAGATGAAGAATATTATGCTGCACGGAAAAAACATAGATGTATATGTCGCAGTACCAATTAAAATTCAGGACGATTTAAAATTGTCCTAAAATTTTAGGAATATTTAAAATTGTCCTAGGAATAATTAAAATTTTTACACAGACATTTTAATTTTTCCTAGGCAAGTCTAGGACAATTTTAAATTGTCCTGAATTTTAATTTTTCCTGCGACATATATATAACACTGTTCTTGTTTGAATAAAATTCCAGAGAAAGTATAAACTTCGTTATGTTGCACAGCACTTCGAATGTATCGTAAAAAATTCATACAAATAGATGATATTTAAAAGGTTATGATCACATATTAAATTACGAATAGAAATGCCGTAACGTTTTCCAATTGATTTCATATATAAAACAAAAACGAATTGTCGACTGATGTTTTCATTTGCAAACATTAAAATCAAAGCGATGCAAATCGACCAACTCTGATTCATAGGTCTGTAAGTGATCTTTTCCCTGCCGAATTCCTTATCACGATCATTAGTAATGTAACAATCACTAAACTAGTCTATTGACATTAAAGACAATTCACTTGTGTCGATTATAATCTCTATTGTACATTGAAAACGAGGGCAACGTATCATTAACAGAACTCCATCTATGCCCTAATATCATTAGACAAAGTGCTTTCCATAAGATAAATATATATTCGTAACAAACACATCAAGGATGCCTGCCTTATTGATCTAACCAACACATGATATTATATCACTACCAGTCTCGCTGATAACTTGTTCGATTATTCAGCCAAGCAGTAAGTAAAACCTCGATTATTCCAAAGGATAATATTTTCGAATACAATCATTTGTTTCATAGCAGAATTTCGAGAGTCGATTGTTCGAATAATATTTGTTTGTGCTAAACGATAGCGCCCTCCTCATAGATCAAATGATTAATGACCAACAATATCTACCAATCATGTTATCGATCATCTCAAAGGTAAACAATAGATCAACAGTCGATATGTAAAAAGAATTTTTTCAGGCAAACTTCGAAGTTTTTCTTAAATATGAGTCAAAACCGAAAAAGTACACAAAGGAAAACATCGAGATTATCAACTGATAGTAATAATCCATGGCAAATTATCGAGTAGAGATACTCTATTTCAAAGATTTTCCCTTGACTTCAAGTTTACTTTCAGTCAGCCACCACAATCATCATCATCGTCGTCAACTAGTGCAGCTGTTCGAAGACCAATGTATCCAAATGTGCCAAAACGAACACAACGATTACCGTCGATTAATGAACAGTAATCATTGGCTCGATTTTCTACACAAAACTTTTCATCTTTCGAATTTTTAAGTGCATTAATACAAACAGATTCTAGTATATCATTCGTACCAAAGAATAAACATCCACGAAAGTCAAATGAGTACGAGACGTTCGTTGAATGTTGATCAACACTTTTAATATTTTCATTGTTTAGCCATGGACCGACAGCAAATGCGTACACTCGTTTGAATTTAGACTTAATTAGTAAATATACAATGCCTCAAAATGAAACACAACTATGTCCATTATCACCAACAGATAATGAAAATCAGATAACAAGAAATCCGAAATCCAAATTCAAACGAACGATATCTGCACTCGATGAAATGAATGAACACAATCACGACTCCAAACGAGCGAAATCTTCTGATGAAGATGAAGATGAAGATGAACTATCTCAACTTCTTGATCATCGACATACAAAACGGATCTTCTCCCAATCAGCAATTAATGACGATGATGAAGAAAGAAAACCTCCAGTACGAAAACCAACCGCTCGGAAATTAAGTAGCACACAGCAACGACCATTTCTCAACAACATACAAACACAGCCTGTGATGGCAACATCGTATCATTCGCCTGAAACTTTAATGATCGAACCTGATTTGGACACTGAAGATGATCATCTCCTAGATCAAGAAGATACACGACCTTCACATAATAGTCATACTAAGCTCGAAGGTAAATTCATCTTTTGTGTTAATCGTGCATAATCTTCAGTAAATCTCTTTAGACTTATTAAATCGCTCTCTTCCTACTGATGTGAATCTGCTTGATTCCTTAACTCCATCTTTGACCCAATCATCAATTCATAAAGATTATCATTCAGTTCGTTCGCCGTTATTTAACACATTCAAACGAGCACTCGAACCGCCGATTGATCATTCTTCTCCATGTTCAAATGGAATAGATGAAAGACAATCAACTACCTCGTCAGTCTCTTTATTCTACGACACACCACGATCATCGTTATCACGAACAACAACTAGTAATACGAATTCAACACCATCAATCATTATCAAACATGATCGTGAAACGCAAATATCAGTTCCATCCAATATTGATCTGATCGAACAGTTAATTCTTCAAACTAATCTTCATATCAATGAAAATTCAAATCAGATCGATTACAATCCAAATGAAATAGCAAAGAAATTCTTTCATCAATGCAAATCGTTTTCTACCATTCGCAAATATCCAGCAGGCAACATCTCATTCCGAAAGCAGTTTTTACACTTTGGCCGATACGAAATCGAAGTCGAATATCCGATCGACAATGACAAAGTAACTCGATAGGAATTTAACTGGTATTTTTCTTCGAAAATCGATTGTGTTTGCAGATGTCAACTATTTACGCATGTGATTCATGTTTGAAACATTTCTTCGGAAGTTCAATAGCATATCAACGTCATTTATTAAAATGCTTGTCAAGTCAACCACCAGGTAAACTTGTCTACAAAGAAAACGATTTAGCCATCTTCGAAATCGGCAAAACGAAAATGACAATGGAACAATGTATTTATATAAAATCTTTACATCGAATTACTAGATTATTTCTTCACTCGACCAGAACTGTTGATGATCGGAATACCGATCGATTTACTTATTATATCTTATGTCGACGAGATCCTATCTTAGCACAGTCTCAGGTAGATGAAACGAATAGTTTGGGATTTCATTCGACTTTTGTCATTTAGTCTTCCATCTATCGTTTTCTTGGTTATTTTTCTAAAGAAAACAACGAATTCGGTCACATCTTAGTCAACAATCTTTCATGTTTAACGATCCTTCCTCCTTTTATTCGTCAACTAAAATACAGTCAATTATTAATTTCTTTCAGTTATTTTCTTATTCGCTCAAATGCTTCTACAAATCAGATGTTCAGCACTCCAACTCGTCCAATTGATAATGACACACTTGCTTGTTTTCGAAACTATTGGCGTCATGTGATATTTGCTTATTTTGACAGTCAAAAATCATCTCATATCCAAACAGTTACACTTGATTCACTCGCACGGAAAACGACTATTCATCCTCATGATATTCTCTCCACTTTATATGTCAATAAATCGATTATTACATGTTTAACTGATAAATCCACGATTTATCTTCGAAATGATCCTTCGTATGCAATGCCATGTTTAAATGAACTTTTACTCAAGATTACGGAGCCAGTCGCACAGAACAAAGACAAGTAAAACTAAATAGATGAACAAAAAATTTGCTTTCTTAGTTTCTTTATGTTTTCAATAGGCGCAATAATTATGATCAGAGTGTAGGAGAAATCATTCTAGATTGATGTTTTGTTTTGTAGAGAAGAAAAGAAAAGTTTTCAAGTCGACAAAATAGTACATTCAAATTCATCAAGAAAAGCCAATCAACTCTCCATGTGATATGCTCTTTTTTTTTTAATCATTTATTGTTCTATTATCGTTCCATGTTACTAGTAAACAAACGTTTGTAGGAGAAAATAAATAATAAAAATTGATACATATAACATAAATATCTTCGCTCGTGTTCTCTTTTCATTCTGGAAAAATGTCATTCGTCTTTTTCTCTATCCTTCTCGTCTCCACCAGACTTCCTTGCCAAGATTTTCACAAGAAGATTATCAGTCAACCTTGATAATCATTCCATTCACGTGAATCGGATTAAGTGGAATATCTTGCAAGATGTTCATCATTTTCTAATTATCTACTGAGAAGCGTTATCTTGATTCTTTCTCTCCTGTTAGCTCGTTCTTGATCCTCATAGGCGAAAGAAGAAGGAAAAGAGAAATTGTGTAGATACACAAAGACTGAAGGTTAGAACTATCTATTATATATCGAACCGACTAGGAAAAAAAACAAGAAGATGTTATCATTAATTTGACACTTACTAAACACAGACGCATCGATTATTTTTTCCAGTTAAGCTTTAGATATATTTTGTTTGTGTTTTTATTCTAGATTTCTATTAATAGAAACAAAAGAAACGTGTCCACAAGTTCAATTATGCCCGTGTTTCATACACGAACTATAGAAAGCATCTTAGAACCAGTTGCTCAGCAGGTGTGTGTGTATATATATAATAATGTTGTCTTGATAGAACCATCTGTTTGTTCTTTTCAGGTTTCCCGCTTAATTATCTTACACGA